TCTGGAGAGCCCTTGTTGTGGGTGGCGGAGCTGGGGGGTGCAGGCCCGCGGGTCGTGTGTGCGTGCCCGTCAGTGGGGTGGGCTGGCCTGGGGGAAGCCCCCTCGCTGCCTGCACAGGGACTTCGTTGTTAGATGAGCTTGCTAATGTTGGCCTTGGCCTGGCGTGTTGGCTTTAGGGAGCCTGATGAGGTGCTTGGCCTTGAGGAGGTTTTCAGGGTTGTGAGGGAGAGCATGTAGAAGCACTTGGGGCATTAGGCATCATTGGGGTCACCATGCTGTTGTGTTTGCAAACAGGCATCCCCTTGAGGGTTACCTGGGAGAGCTACACTCAGGGGTGACAGGAAGCTGTAATGAAATGTGTCTGTGGCTTGCCTAAGCTTGGGGGATTTTAGCAGTGAAAGCAGGATCTTTCAGATCCTGCAGGATCGTTCAGACCTCTTTCCAGCAGAGCTGAGAGAAACTCCCGGAGAGAGGGAAAGCTCTGGAGATGGGTCCTTTAGGGGGCGAGGAGTTTCCTCAGTCATCATTAGAGAAGGAGATTTCTTAAATATGTCCATCTGTGGAGACAGGTCCTCATGACCTTACATTTTCAGTGGTACTGGCTCATTCTTCAGGTTCTGTCGAACGCTTTTATCGAGGACATTATGTCGGTATTCTTTATGTACAGGAACAGTGAGTAGAGAACTACTTCTCATGCCAGGGGTCGTGAAAAGGCAGGGTAGCTTTTGCTTTTGAAACATTGCTGTTACGGCAGGTGGCAATCACTAGCTTTAATAAATGTACGGTTATAGGTGTGCTTTTTTCATAAAACGCTGTAGCAACTTCCATGGACCTTTACTGTGCTCTTGGTGCCTTGTGTCGCTTGGAGCCCCTGCATCTGGGCCAGGGGAGACCGGAGACCGCTGGCCCAGCATCTTAGGCTCCCGTAGACCAGCACTGACCCCAGGCCCTCGTTTTGCTGCTTCTCCTTTTCCTTTTGCTTCCCGAGATTAACCAACACCTTAACCAAGATGGCTTTTCAGTTCTTCCCTCCTGATACTAGAGTCATGTAACAAATAGCACCACATGGGAGTCCGGGTTTGGGTTGGAAGGCTGCAGTACGTGGTTTGTAAGATTTCTTTTACCTTAAGTCAGGGAAATACTTGATATTGATACTCTTGAGTGTCACAACCCTGTAAAATCCGCACACCCCCCCCCCCCCCCCCCCCCCCCATACTGCCTTCCTTAAAGAGACCCATAGATATGTGCAGTCCCACGTGGGGTGTGGCAGAGCCAGGATTTGCACCCAGGTCTGCTGGGTGCCCAAGGTTGGCTCTTCACTCGTCCCTGTTTGCTAAGCCTGGCTTCTTGCCCCGACCTGTATCGTCATTGACCCAGAGCTTTTGCTGCAGCTATTGCATCATAAACCTTTAGTGTTTGGAAGAAATCTATCCTAAGACCTTATGAATCCCCAAATTTAGAAATACAGTAATATAACGTCTTTCAAAAGGCACAATAACATTAAACTTTTATCTGGCCCCTCCGGACTCGTTTGAGAGTTGGTTACTAAGAATATGCAGACATGAGCAAGCTCCGTTCAATCAGTAATTTCCAGTGCGAGTGGGTGGGGTTGGGCTTCTGTGTCCTTAGGGCTGAGGGTGTGGAGCTGGGGGAAGGGGGTTTGGGATTGCTTCTTCCAGCAGCGTGGCCAGGCTGTTCCTTCCTCTGCTTTCCCCAGAGGCTCACGTCCTGTCTTACAATCTGTTTTTTGAAAATGTAAGTACAGTTTAATAGACTGGGTTGGGAGGAAACAGGCAGGGATAATGTTTTCCTTGTGTGGTGGGGCCAGTGAGGTGGGGGTGGTTATTTCCTACTGTCTGATTTGTTACTGTCCCAGGGGCATGCTTAAGAACAAACCAGGGTTATGTTTCTATAAGTAGGTTTTAGTTTATGATGATCTTTCATCTTGATCAACTCTCTAAGAAAATGTTATGCTTCTTAGGTAAATTAGTTATTTATTTTTAAAGGACTCAGTGACTTAAAGTATGAAACCTACCAAAATTTGCGGTGAAAGTCGCAACTCATTTGTAAAATCAATGGTACTAAGTGTTCCTTGAACGGTGGTGGTAATAAAGTGAGTTTCTGTGTGTCTGCAAGGTAGTGAAGTCAGTCTTTGTTTTGCTCTGCTGTAACGGCTGACAGTTCAGGGATTGTCTTTGTGGCTTGCCTGATGTCCTCTTCCTGTGTGGCCCCATTGTCTGATGGGCCGGGGCTCTCCACGCCTCATGCCTGAGGGAGAGCTGACGCTGGCGGAGCCCCGCCGTCCTTTCGTCCTTTCGCGGCTGTGGAACGTAGGCCACTCCTGCTGTGAGCCCTGCCTGCGCTCTCTGGGGCCAGCCTTCGTGTGATGGAGCTTTGCAGCGCGGCTGGGAAGTCACATGGGGTCCTGCAGCAGCCAGAGCGTGCAGAAGTCCAGAAGGGGGAGACAGGTGCTGATGAGCTGGGGGGGGGTTGGGGGGGGTGGCATGTGCGGCTCCTGGCCTCAGTGGGACTCAGCCAAGTCTGGTCGAGTGTTGGTGGAAAAGCTGAGTGTAACTTGGATTGTTTGGGTGGGAGGGTTATAGAACTTGTCTTTAGCACTTACTTGAAAAGCATGTTTGTGACTGCTAGTTGACATTAACCAACTTAACTGCCTTACTATAGTTTTTTGGTAGAGGATTCTTTGGCATTGTTTCTGGTACATTTTTAGGGGAGGCTTTTATATCTGCATACTATGATTTAATGCTGTGATGGAGGAAATGCCATTTTATCCAACTCACACTCATCCTAGTGATGTTTTCTTGTACTTATTGCCTCTCATTTTATAAAAGGTGCATGGGTTTTCAAGCACTCTCTAAGCAGCACTGCTAATAGTTCGTAGTATTTGTAACCAACACATGAAATCACAGTTTAATTTTTGTTGGAACATTGAAGACTGTCCGTCTTCTGCATCGGTGACAGATTAAATATTTGATTTTTTCAGTTCAAGGACTATTCTACTTGGATTCATGTTACTTTTAAAGGATAAGGTCTGGTGTAAAGTATAATTTTCTGATGCAGTGGCTGGTGTCACAGTATGTTCTCTGTCCACCGTTCCTTTGACATTTGTGTCTAGTGACCATTTCTTCGAAGGGAGACCTTGTAATCCTGGGACCAGCACCCAGATTTTCCCACAAAGGAATGAACTCCCAGAGCAGCCCCTCCGCCCTCCGGCTCGCTCCCCCACTCTTGCATGAATAGACCCATTCAGGGGCGAAACCAGAGCCCAGTGTCACAGTGAAAGCGACTGATTCTCTTCATCTTAGATAGCATAGCATGTAAGTTATTTTATCAGGTTTGCATTTACTTATGAAGGACTGTGCTTTCCCGAGGACACAGAAAACAGTGAACAGACTAAGAATCCATGTACTATGCATGTTACTGATGTTGAAATCTAAATTTAGCTGAATGATTACTTTTTTCTTTAATGTTTAAGCATATATATTTTAATTATCAAACTGGGGAGAAGACTGAGTGTATTCTATACAACTTTGTGCGTGATTGAGGATGGTTGGTTTCGGAAGAGAAGTAACACATCTTAGTGCATTTTGTGGACACTCTGAAGCGCACGGGACGTGATTTTCTCATTGAAGAAGGTGCTGGGCTGCTGACAGAGCGGGAAGGAAAAAGGGGATTGAGGAAGGGATTTGCGTTCCTTACTTACATCGGGTCTCCTGGGAGCCCAGATTCCTGCACTCAGCCTGGCAGCCAGAGAGGGCACAGAGGGGGCCGGGCTGTGTCCAATCCAGGTGCACACGCCCCACGCGGGCTCTGCTCCTCACTAGCGCTTTGATTTTGGAGGATCCTTCCAGAGGACAAGACTGAAGCAGAGAGGGTAAGAGGAATAGTTTTTCTGAGGAGGAGAGCTGCTGCTGGCCTTGGCACCTCCCTGCCCTGCCCTGGGAGGGGCCTGTGCTCTTGGCCATTGTGATGGAAAGAGGCTTATTTTTTAGTTCAGCTGTTTTGCACTTTTTTTTTTTTTTAAGATTTTATTTACCCATTTGAGAGAGACAACAGAGATCATGGGCAGAGAGAGGGAGAAGCAAGCTCCCCACTGAGCAGGGAGCCTGACGCGGGACTTGATCCCAGGACCCTGAGATCATGACCTGAGCCGAAGGCAGACGTTTAACCCCCTGAGCCACCCAGGCGCCCCATGTTTTGCACTTTTTATCTAACATAGGGTATCAGGAAATATTTTAAGATTGATTTATCATTCTTTAAAGTAGTGGCTATTTAAGGGCTTTATACTGGTGGACTTTTAATTTTTAATGTGTATAGCATGATCTGAGACCATCATTCTCTAATGAAATTGATTTATATTTGCTAGGCTCAATCTAAAGAGTAAACTTGATTTATTATTGAAGTATACTTTGCATATGTTAAAATGCATGGATTTTAAGGGTACAGTTCAGTGAGTTTTGACAAGTGTATTTATTTGTAACAACTACTCAAGTTATGATATAGAACATATCTGTCACCCTAGAAACCTAGGCCCCTTCCCCATTGTCACTCCTCTCCCCTTCTGCTTTCTGCCCTCAACAGATTAGTTTTGCCTGTTCTTGGACTCACTGTAAATGGGATAGGCATGGCATCCTTTTGTGAATGGCTGGCTTCTCCTGCACGACACCGTGTTGGGGATTGATCTGTGTGTGCGTGCTGTTGTGATGTGAGCAGATGGGGCATCACTTCTCTGATGATGGAATTCATCCCAGCCTCGTTCTACGTGTTACCTGTCCCACGTGTACTTGGCAGTGAGAGGAAGTGAATTGTGTCACTGTGGGAAGAATCTGTTACACAGGTTTTCGTGGTTAACGGTCACAGGGAGGGGTAGCAAACACATCGGTATTCGGTAGAAGCAACACTATCTTGAGTTTGGATAGTGGTGAAATTCCCAAAGCTGCTAAATCTTAACGGCGAATAATGCGATTTGTCATTTGTTGTAGGTGCTACAGAATATTTTGGAAACAGAAAATGAATATTCTAAAGAACTTCAGACTGTGCTTGCAACCTATCTCCGGCCTTTGCAGACCAGTGAGAAGTAAGTTGGATGATAAATTGTATTAACTGCAACATAGTCGACACCTAGACTGTTTGCTCATGTTCTCTGAGAATGGAGGATAAAATGCTGGTACAATCTGGTGTACCAGTTTGTTTTAGATGTGGGGGTTTTTAGTAGGTGGAGCCTCTGGGCATTGGGAGGGGAGAGGAGAGTGAAACTGTACGTACTTTCACTATTATTTTTCTCGGTTCTAGGTTAAGTTCAGCAAACACTTCATATTTAATGGGAAATCTAGAAGAAATATGTTCTTTCCAGCAAATGCTTGTACAATCTTTAGAAGAATGCACCAAGTAAGTAAGACCCTAAAAATTTGCAAAATTCAGGTTATAGTACAACTGGTATTTAAAGAATTGAGTTTAATGTAATTTTAGAAATCACATTTCTCATGATGGAAACTGTTATTTTGAATCTTTTTGCTGTATCAACTTTTATAGTAAAAGTTGTGTTTTTGACTGTCCAGTGTTTATAGTAGGGGTCTCTACTGACTGTAGAGAAAGGAGAGAGACTTGCCAGGAGTAGGAATTTTTAAGGGGAGGAAGATCCTGTGCTGGTGGGCTCCTTCTGCACGTGTTCCTGGCCCTCTGGAAGCGGAGGGATCGTAAAGCACTATGTCTATAATGTGATTATCATGCTTTGTTTTACCTTTTCCATGGTATTTTGTGGGAAGTGGGGAGGCATGTTCTGAATGATTGGCCATCTGCTTGACTTTTTTTTTTTTTCTGTATGACTGTTTTGTTCTTGGTCAACATCAGACATATCGAAGGGTGTTTACTAAGTGCCTGCTGGGCGTTGGAAGACTTGAAGTCATAATGCACATGAACACACTTTTCTCGGCTGTAGGTTTCCAGGTGGTACTCAATGTTGATTTACCTGTGGATTTGGTAGAGGAAGGAGATCCTTCTTATTTTTAAATTCTCTTTCTGTGTCAGCAGGACCAGGAAACTTTTTCTCTTGGAATCTGGTTGGTCTCTGGTTTTTCCTTCCTGTAGCGTTTTGTCTTTCTCCGTCTTGGAAGTGGTGAGGGGTGTTCTGCCCTCTGTGCCCCAGGCCGACAGTTGGCCAGGCTCAAAGTAGGTTCCAGGTTTCCTCCAGGCTCTTGATCCTGGAAGGTGTGACAGGGAAGCTGAAGGACACAGGAAGTACTGACTTTCAAACAGAAATTCACATTGTGTTTCCTTTTGTAGCATTTTTAGTTTGTATAAAGTGGCATTAATTACTGGGCATGAAAAGAGTAGTTTGAGAATCGCTTTGCTTTCCTTTTGGTGAATGGAGGTCATTTGCCAGCAATGTGGGGCCTTCGCAAGAGTCCAGCCTCCGTGTGTTTGCCCCTGCTTTTCCCAGTGGCCTGGGATAATGTGGACTAAATAATATTTGTGGAGTGCACTTGTAGCACCTCTCTTGGGCCTTCCCTCAGGCTTGTGTGCACCGCACATGTATGGATCTGAACCCTGAAATTCAGGGAGGGCACAAAGGGGACGAGGTCCAACATCTTGTCAGACTATAGGCGTTGGCGTCATCTCGGACCTCGGTGTGACCTAGGTAGTGTTTTGGTCAAATTCCTCAAGGGCATGGTGCGGTTGGTGTTAGCTGTTGGATTTTCGATGGTGGAACGGAGGGTTTGAGCCTAGCTTTCCTCATCAGCCGTTCCTCTTATCTCTCATCACGAATATTGTGAAAGTTTGCAGAGATTGGTATAGAACTCAGGTGCACAGTCCTAGGATTTCCCCCCAAAGTCCCAGCAGCTCAGGTTGAACCAAACTGTGCAGTTTGCTCTTGGGGCTTAGCTGTCCCACGTGGCCCAGCCTTGGCCACCATTGGCCCCAGAGCATAGAGAACTGTGTCCTTGCCTTCTCCAACTGCAGTCGTCTCCAGAATCTTCCTCTCTGGCCGTCTGCTGCCTTCAGACAGTTGGTTTTATCTTTTGTCCGAAGTTTGTGTACCTGCAGGAGAGTCCATTTGATAGGATAAGGTGGCTGTAACCTGAAGGGGAGCCTCCTCCATGCTAGAAGCCAGCTGAGGGCATGGCCTTGAACTTGGAGTCTGATGGGCCTCCCAAGTAAGGACCACTCGTCATCTGTTGCTGTTCTTCCACAGTTGGTGCTGACCATCTCCCCTTCTGTTCTTTTTGTTCTTGTGAGTTTATGCCTGTTTGAGGCTCAGCAACTGTCACAGCCTAGATTTGAGAAGGGAGAAAGGGGGCCTGTAGGGGGCTGGGCCTCCAGCTTTCACCTAAATGGAAGGAGGGCTGTGGTGTTTCGTGGTGTGTGTGTGGGGGGCGCCTGTCTCGATGCTACCTTAGTAGCAAACCTCGCCAGCCAAGTGATTTTATAATTCCCCTCTTATACAGAGCTGAAGGATTCATGACCTCTCTTTCTCTCACTGCTCAAAGCCTCGCTGTGTGGGCTTGTTAGCTGTGTCCAGGTGGGTCATGGCAGCTGGATGCTGGAGGAAAGAAAGGGGCTTAGTTTGCTGCTTTATAGCAGGAGCTTTCAAGGCCGGCACTTGCTAGATTGCTGGTATGAACACGCGTTCTGGGATGTGTATATTTGGCTTTTGTAGAGGTGGTATACAAGGAGGTCTTCCTCACTCAAATTTTCTGTGTTTATTACTTGGCAATTTCCCTTCTTTCTGTAAAATTTAGGGTGATTTCCCTTGTGTTGCATATCTCTAGGTTGCCAGAAGCTCAGCAGAGAGTTGGAGGATGCTTTTTAAATCTGATGCCACAAATGAAAACCTTGTACCTTGCGTATTGTGCCAACCACCCATCTGCAGTGAATGTTCTCACAGAGCACAGGTATGCTCCCTCAGACACCCTCCCCTGAGGGAAAGGACCTCTTGGGGTGTGCTCCATGTCAGCTCGTTTTGACCACGCGTTACATGAAACGCAGTGTGGATATCCACTTGTCTGTTGAATGGTTATGGTGTCTTTAGTCTCCTCTTGAGTTGAATGCCCGAGAGGCACTGGTAAGGGGTCTCTGAGGTGCTGAGTAGCATTTTTGGAGTAGAAAAAGAATGTTTTTTTGAAGTCTCCCTTCAGCCTGGAGCCCTTGGGATAGTGGGTTGGAGGAAGTGTTAGGATTCTGGAATGTAGTTGTGAGCTAACTCCAGGCTGCTGGAATCCTGTTTCTCTGAGTTCATCGAACTGGAAGCACGAGGGATGGAATTAGGTTTGCTGTAAGAGAAGATGCTACTTTTAAAAACTGGGGCTGGGTTTTCTAGGTAAAAGTGAAAGTTGGAGATAATTAGCTTCAGGTTCTCAACCTGAAACCGAACTAAAAGAAGTGAAGCAGAAGGCACAGATCTGCCACTTGTTTCGTGAGGCCCGGGAGGCGGAAGGAGGCAGAGGAGCAGCTCTGTGGCCGGGGGGCGCTGCTCAGTGGAGTACAGGGGCTCTGTTTCTGCTGCTTAGAGGGGCACCAAGCTTTACTATGTGTGCTAGGAAGATTGCCATGGTTACTTTTGAAAAGAGCCATTTAAAAATCTTCTAAACCGTGAATGAAAAAATTGTTCAGTAGCATTAAGGATAAGTTACAGTTAAATATTTAAATATTTGAACTTAAGAACTCTTGATAAGCAAGCATGTTTGAGCTATTTATAAATTGAGCTGAGGCTCAAGTGTAGTGTCCCTGTGAGTGGGGCTGGATTGTGGGGCCGTGGAGGGAGGGCCTCTGGCTCACTTGACTTGGTTTGAGCCCCAACTCCACTCAGCTGGTGAGCCTTGGGTAAGTCGTCTTGCTTCTCTGGGCTTTATTCTCTTCTCTGAAAGTGCCGACTTGATGGGGTTATTGTAAGCATTAAGCAAAACGTATGTGAGCAGACCGGAACTGAGTGAGCGTGGCAGGTCTTCTCCGCGCCCCTCCCCCAGGAGACCCTGTGCATTCACTGCTGCTCAGTGTGCTGAAACACAGTAGGAAAGCCTCTCCAGTCCTGAAACGAGGCGGCAGCCTCTGCCGGGTGACAGAAGGAAAGGGAGGTCAGGATATATGGCGGGCCGGCGGCTGTGTCCACACATACCTTCCGTTATGTGCTCTGCCATCCCCTCCTGGGCATTAGAATTTCCATAAAAGTTGAATGTGCAAGGATTACATTTATATTTCTGAGAATTCCACAGGAATTCTTGACGTGGCAATAGGGGAGACAAACAGAAAGCAAATAGGATGTTAGGGTTAAAACTGTCCTGTAAAATTTTTGTTCTCCTTCCTTTTTGGGGGTTGGGGGTTGATCCTCTAGGGTTGGGCTGGAAGTCTAGAGCGGGTGGGGTGGGCACTTCTGGGGACTGATTCTAACTAGATATTTTTCCCCATGGAAGTGAGGATCTGTCCTGAACATGGCATTTAAAGTGATTGAGATTGTTTACGAAAATGTTCAGACTTTGAAGGGAAATGCTTGCGAGTATGTGATGTTTATTCCCTCTTCTGTGCTATTACTTCAATGATTGTTTGTGTCCTAGCTGAAACTTAAGTGCAGCGTTTTCCCAAAATAACAGGGAAGGAATACAGACAAGTTTGAGCGGGGAGCCTCTGTACCGCCTCCATGTGGCATGTCCTTGGGGTGGAAGGGTCACGGTCTTGCTCTGGTAGGGTGAGCTGTGAGAGCGGGTGCAACTCGGGCTGCCGGGATGCGCTGCCTGTGTGCCCTCCTGAGGTCTCTGGGCAGCGAGGGGCCCCGCCCTGCCCACCTGTCGGACCCTGCTCCGCAAGCGTAAGTTGGTGAATTGAGACAGGACTGCAGTTGGCCGGGAGCTTCTGTTCGTGTTCACCACATTTTCTTCTGGCCTCTTAACCTGTAAACTCTTCCCTGCTTCCTTTGCATTTGTTGGGAGTCTTAAAGCTGCCACACTTATGGGTTGATTAACCTATTTTTATGCTTGAATATACTTTTTAAGGATTGATTCAAGTGTACTGATGAGAAGTTTTAAAGGCTTTATTTGCAATTGTGTGATTGCTCATTGTGTTGAAATTCTGAGTGTGAATCTTGGGAATGCATAGACAGGGATGCCCGTTGTGTAGAGTCAGAGCTGAGAGGTTCCTTTTGCATTTTCATGATAGTAGACATAGGTTCCTGGCTGCCTATTTTAAATGAGTTATGTGTTTCATAATTTAGTCTGTAAATGGGTTTATTTTTTCCCCAGCACTGTAATTGTTGCTTTCTGCTTGGCTTACATGATGGTTCTCTGTATGAGTGTCCTTTTGTTGGAGCCCACAGTGTCATTTCAGTAACTCCAGAGGAGATCTTCTGTATAAAGGTTGCTAGCATCAGTAGAAAGTAAGCTGAAAGAGCCATTGTTTTGTCACAATGGCCGTAACCAGCTGTTTTCTCTTGTACTCAATTTAAAAAACTAAAATGAAATATGATCTATAAAGACTTAACTGTGTACATGTTCTGGCATTCTGAGATCATGGATGTTAAAAGAAGTTGCTTTTGTTTGCAGAAATGTCATTTTAAATTCTTAGTTTTAGGGTGTTTCTGGAGGGGGCGAGGAGTAGAACTTGCTTAGTTCTGTTACTTTTTCTCTGCCATTACTACAGTTAGGAAACTTCATATCCAGAAATACATATATATAAAAAAAAGACCATTCCAAATGGACTTTCTTGTGTTTTTTCTTGTGGTAGGAAAGGCTCCGCATGGATCATGTTTGAAGGAGTTGTGAAATACACTTTTGGTGCCATAGAGTTCCGCTTTTATGGGACTGTGCTCGATCCGTTGTTCAACACTTAGAGAAGTGCTGCTCCTAGTGCGCCTTTCTCCTCCTCAAGTCTGTCCTTTCGCTCCACTGCCTTGGGGGGGGTGGGCGGGTGGGTGGGGGAGTGGAAGAGACGGGCATTTGAGGAAGAAGGTGTGCGGGGCAGGCAGCATGTGTGTGGGACGCGGAGGAGCACAGCAGGGTCAGAAGGACCACAGGAGCCGCTCAGGTGCAGCGTGGCCTTGGAGCCCTCCTCAGGTTCAGCCACCCTGCTAGCAAGGGGGATGGGGGCCTCCATCCTCGCGGGGTGTCTTCCTCTGTAAATGCGCATAATGACGACACCTGTGTGGCAAGCTCAGGGACGTGCTGGGGATTATGTACAGAAGCCTCTCAGGTGCCGAGCAGAGTGCTTGTCCAAAAGTGGGTCATCCCCTTCCCTCTCTCCTTCCCGCTGCATTCTCCTGGCTATAGCTCTCCCTTCCACCCAAGTTGAGCAGAAGGGAGTGGCTGGGAGAAAGCCGGCCTGGGAGCGCTCCTCAGTTACCCACCCCATCTTAGTGGGGAGAAGTCGATGTCGAAGAAGGGAGGAGGCAAAATGGTGATGCAAACAGGTGCTCGAGGGTGCTGCTCCTGGCCCTTAGACCCCCCACAGTGTCAGGGGTAGACACTGGACCAGTGCGTGGCAAGGTTGCAAAACCCTGCTGTGCCGGGCTTCCTGCCCTCAGGGGGTTGTCCAGAGAAAACCAGTCTCTGAAAGCATGTTAGATACACACACACCCACACATACCTCGAGAGAAAGCTCAGCAGCTTCTTTGATGATTTAAGTCGCATCACCATGAAGGGCTGTCTTACAGGAATAAAATCATGAAGGCTTAATCTTACAGAAATGAGAAAACGTTATGTGTGATAAGTTTTTATAGCTAGGATTATGTGAAACCTTCCTCTTGTTAATGATTTGCCTTGACTTTGATAATACTCCAAAATGTGTATATATAAATTTATTTGAAAGGTTGATTTTAAGAAATGGAGCAGTCGGTACAGATGAGTGGATAGGCAGGCAGATGGCAGGTACTATTCATCACCTTAGTCCTGTATTGTTTACACAGCCCAGGCACGTGCTCTGGCTTCAGTGAGTGCCCCTTGCTTAACCAGGCCACCTCCTTTTCATAAACCCGACTTTAGGTAGAAGTAGCTGTCTAAGGAAGTCTTCGTGCTTAAGAAGTGTAAGACTAGTTTCATAATGATCAATTCCTTTGTTGTCAACCTGAAATGTGAAAGCTTTTATTTCCACGTTGGTTTAGTTAAGTGAACTGCTTTCCCCGTGGGTGCGTGAGATCAGTCGCGGTTGGGTAAGAGGTAGGTTGTGCCGACACCGATTCTTGTCCTCGTGTATTTCCAAGTGAAGTCCTTTTAGTTGAACTATAGGAGACGGTCGTACTCAGTACTTTGGAATTAGCAGTCTCAAAGGGTATACATTTTCACCAGGACCCTTTAGTGTGGCTGGTGCTCCCAAGGAGCTTGGGCAGTGGGCAGGTGTAGCTGAGTTGGGGCTGAGGGGGACAGAGGAGGTGAGGCAGTGGCTGGGGGCCCCTGGGGTCAGATCAGGTCACCCGCACTGTTATAACTGCTCAGTTATTCTTCAGGGTTTTCATATTTTTTGGCTTCGCTTAGTGTTCTTCCCAGTAGGTGACATGGGCGCTCAGCACCTGAGCTGGTGTGTCCTCTCCCCCAGCTTGTCTGTCCCTCCCATCCCCATGCCTGGAGTGATGGAAGGGGCAACAGTGAGGAGAACAGGGCAGGGGTGCAGGAGAGGCACAGGTGGACAGGTCCGGTCTCCGGCGTGAGTCCTGATGTGTGTGTCGCTGACCGAGCTCATGCCCACTGCTGCACTCCTGGACTGCTTGGCTCATTCCAGACGATATAGCTGTTGAACTGAAATACTCAGGGCAGACCCAGCGTGCTGGTCGTGGAAGTTAGAGGAGAAATAGAATGAAGGTGACAGGAGCGCGGAAAGTATGCGGGCTTTCAGCTCCTTTAATTTCTGAGTACGCGCTCAGTGTCCTCATCTCAAACACGGGCGACATTCTTTATATATCGTGAGGGCTGAGTGAAGTGATGATGGAACAGTGCTTTTGAAATTGTAAAGCCCAAGTGGATCAGTTACTTGATTGTGCTGTTGTCTCGGGCTCGTTCCTCACAGGATGCTTCAGGGGCTGTTGGCTGGACCGGTAGGCGCCTAGAGTGTTCGTGCCCTGGTTCAGTGCATGGTAGCACCTAAGCGTCTTCTACCTTCTTTTTTTTTTTTTTTAAACCACCTCGAGGTACCCAGATAATCGAAATCCGTTCTAGCTTGGAGAACGCTTGCTGGAATTTGGATGCTCCTGTGTGAACTTGAGGGAGTGGCCTTTCATGAATGGAATCGCCTGTGTTCACGTAGGCGTGGCTGTTCTTGCTCATAACCAGAACAGTAATAGCACGAACCCCCTGGGGTTGTCCCCTTTGGTGTTCCAGTGTAGCCAGCACCCGTGTGGCTAAGTGTGAAGTGTTAGAGACCCCGTTACACCTCACAGGCTGGTGCTGCTGGTGGGCAGACTGTGGTCCCCTGCCTCTGTGCACGCGCTAACCGCCGCGCCGTCTGCTCTCCCCACGTGGCCGCCGGCCGTGCAGCGAGCAGCTGGGAGAGTTCATGGAGACCAGAGGTGCAAGCAGCCCGGGGATCCTGGTGCTGACCACCGGCCTCAGCAGACCGTTCATGCGCCTGGACAAGTACCCCACACTGCTCAAGGAGCTGGAGAGACACATGGAGGTACTGTGTGCCGCGGGCCGGTCGCTCGGGATCCGATACCCTGTCAGAAAAACTCCCAGTCCACTTCGGAGGCCAGGACCAACCAGCGTGCTTTAAGGGATTTGATTTAATGGAGTTTCAGGAATGGTTCTATGAAATACTAAGTTTTCTGCTTATCCCAGCTCCATAAAAAACATGTCGTCCTTCATCTCCTCTGTCACCCACTGCTGCTGTTAGAAAAATCTCCAAAAACTAGAGAATGTTAATCTTGGTGTTGAGTAGCACTGAGGTGCCCTAGTAGGGACACTTAGCCACAGGTGGTCAGGGCAGTGTTTATATGGTAGTAATAGTAAGAGAGTCCATCAGTTCCTGATCCAGATGTGTCTTACTTTTGAGTAATAGGCTGTAGGCCTGGCAGACACTTGTGTCCAAGTTGCCGTCTGGGGGAGGGTTGGCACACTTTCCCTGTGAAGGGTGGGCCCTGCGGCCCCTGCCCTGCCGCCCACCTCCACTCAGAGCTGCAGAGGCCCGGTGTGAGGCCGGGTGGAGGGGGGTGGGTGCAGACTCCTGCCTCGGGCTTCTCTCTTCTTACACTGTTCTTTCCTCAGAGTCCAGTGGCTCTGTGAGAACAAGAATGGCACTTTAATGCTGAGAAAATAAGATCTGCTGTGGGTTGAAAAGTGTTGGGAAAGTTTCAAGCTAGTCTGTAGAGTACCTTTTAAAGAGAAAAAACTTTACGTTATGAAAGCTAATAGTGTTTCTTCTATTCAAAGGATTATCATCCAGATAGACAAGATATTCAGAAATCCATGACTGCCTTCAAAAATCTCTCGGTAAGTGATTAAGCCAAATGTTATGGCTTTATCCCCCAGGCATTATTATGACAAGGGAATGTAGAAAAAATTTTTGTCCCCTAAAAATGTCCGATGATAAAAGATACTGAGAGCTAGAATTTGGGTGTACTCAAGTAAAAATGAACATGGTAGTTTACCATGGTGGTAAGTTCACGTGCTTTACTGGGCTGTGGACACCAGGAAAGTTACAAATAGTTTAACCTTCAAAAAGGCACCGCATGTTTGATCTATAGTTACTTATAAAGGTCCTCCTCCACGGGCAGTGTCTTTGGCGAGGATGAGTTCGGTCCCGCTCTGTCACCGTGCTGTCACATCCCCTATGTTTCTGGAATGTGCCTCACAGCATTTGCTCTTGGTCCCCTGCTCAGCCTTTGCGCTAGCAGAGACCAATAAAACCAGAAAATTCCAGTTTAAAACCAGTCCAGAGTGCCATGGGTGTTGTCCCTCTTAATTCCGTGCTCTTGAATTCAGCGCATCCTCATTCCGTGGACTATCTGTCTCAAGAAGAAACAAAATAATATGGCCAATACTTGAGGTTCTGGAAGCTTCTGTGTCTTCTAACAGTGGTGTTCTGTGTCTCAGGCCCAGTGTCAGGAAGTACGGAAAAGGAAGGAACTAGAATTGCAGATTCTGACGGAGGCCATCCGGAGCTGGGAGGGAGATGACATTACGACCCTGGGCAGCGTTGTGTACATGTCCCAGGTCATGGTTCAGTGCGCTGGGAGTGAGGTATGCAGGGCCCGAGTGCCGTGGCGCCGTGCCCCCCTCTGCAGAGCAGTGGGAATGGAGTGGAGGGACGAGGTGGCCGTTGGACTGGTGGCGGTCCTGTTCCCATCTCCAGAGTGTCTTTCTTGAAACAATTTAAGATGCCTTGGGGAAAAATGGACTTGAGAGCTGAACATAATTTGTATTCAGTATAATTTGTTTTGTAAATGCTTTCTCAGATTCCTCAGTGACAGTCAAGAATGTAAATACTTTAGAATATTATGCTTTTATGATCGCATAATAAGAGATTTTAAAGGAATGTCAAATTTAATAGGATTCTTGTATCCTAGTTTGGTATCTGCCTTTTGTCCTTGTGTGACATAAAAGTGGCTTCTGCTGTTAGTGAGGCTCAGCTCACAGTGGACCACTTGACCAGTGTAGGTCAGCCAGGATGAGTGATGATCAGCCTGTGTCACCTGAAGGGTGGCATCCAGACAGGACCTGTGTCACAGGTGTCTGCTGCAGAGCAGGATGTATGTCCCCACCTGCCTGGGCCTACCTGCCTGGGCCTTCCTGCCGATGCGATCACTCTAGGAAGTCTGTCTTCGATGGTTTAGATCATTCAACCTGTGTGTCCTCTCTCCTGGTTGGCAGTTGTGGAAATCCAATACCTGGTGGGTTTGGTTTAAGTGAGAGATGAGTGTAGACTCTTGTATCACCACCCGCGGAAACCACGATTTGCTTTCCTGTGTGTGAGTTCCATTCACTTGCTCACCAAGCAAGCGTCTCTTCCTCCGGAGTTTTGTCCTACCTTTGTGTGTTTCAAAACAAAACAAACCAAGAACAGTAATTAACATGATCAAACTATGCTAAAGACCCACTTGCAAACTTGAAACTCTTAGGACAGTAAGAGAACTGAAACTAACGTCAGTTTGGGGACTGTAGGAAATCGTGATTTCTAGTCTACTACATTGACCGAAAGACCCCAAACCTTTCCAGAAAGTCTTTTAATCATGCACTTTTAAACGTTGGGAAATGTTTACTTTGTAAGCAATGTTTTCTTTATAATGTGAGATGTATGAAACATGAATAGGTGTGCTCAGACAGTGGTTCCAAGCCGTGACTGGGAAGATGGTGGTGGGTCTGACAGGTTTCTTGATGAGGGGGCCTCTCAGGGCCGGGGCTCTGAGGACTCCTGCCACGCGTTGCACACCTCTGTGCACGGCATGTAGGAAGTGCTATCACACAAGTTTGAAGTGCGCAACCTGTTTTCAAGGCCCGTGGCGTGTGACTGGCATCGGAGGACTGCGGAGGACCCGGCTTCTGGACCCCTCGGCGTTTGCGGGCCGTGTGGAAATGGCCGCTCGTGGAAAGGGCCGTCTGCATTCTTTACATTCCCAGGAATCTGTCCTTTCGTTGTGGTCTCTCTGGGGTTTTTTTTGTTTTTTTTTTTTTAAACTTTTTGAAGCAAGTGGTTTTTAATAGAAATGCTTTTAAGTCTTTTATGTAAACTAGGTAAGGTTTGTAGCATGGATGAAAACAACACTGAATTGATGTATCAGGCTTTAAGACAAGTGCCAGGAATTATTAATAGACTAAAGTTGATTTTAACATTTTATCCTGTCCTCCTTTAGCTTGAACGGTCCACCTGTTCTCCACCACAACCCCCAAACTTTATGAGTTCTTTATTTGCTCTGAAATAGAAAAAAAATTTTAGACTAATTAAAAAGAGTTAATGGCAGAGCTGAACTCCTTAACCAGTTTTTGTTTTTTTTTTTTTTGAAAGACGCTACAGGGGCTACTTGTAAGTCTAAGAGTTTATCATAATTTTGTTTCCATTTATTTTAGCTGATGGAATTTGGTAGAAACAAGGAAATATGGTACATGTTTCATAAGATCTAATGTAGGTACTTGTCCTCACATCTGTATGTTTTAAAAACAAAATTACTTGGATTTTTTTGTTCTTTTACATTAGGAAAAGAATGAGAGATACCTTCTGCTCTTCCCAAATATTTTGCTAATGTTGTCTGCCAGTCCTAGGATGAGTGGTTTCATCTATCAGGTAAAATACATTTTAAGTTTGTGTTTCCTTGTTGGCTGTGGCCTGAGAGCCTGTCGCAGGCGCAGTTCGCGGTTCTGGGTGAAGCACGCTGCGCCTGGGCCGCCCGTGCGGCCCGTGCTGCCGGACGCTCAGCGCCCCCTCGCTCAGCGCGCACGCAGCTCCTGGCCGCGCCTCCGTGCAGCCGGCGTGTCGCGGTCACGGAGGCTCGAGCGGGGGGAGACCAGCGCCGTTCGCGGGCTGCCTCCTGAGGACGTGGGCTGCCTGGGGTGCCCGGCGGCTGGGTCACCGCCTGAAGTCCTGTCTCGGAGCTGCTGCCTTCCTGGCCGCCGTGGGGTGGCGGGCGCGGCGGGCTGGGCTAGTGGGGGGGCGGCGCGCGGGCTGGGAGGTCCCGGAAGCCGCTGGCGCCGCAGGGGACCGGCCGGGGCAGCTGAGGCGAGGGCTGCAAGGGACCGCTTCACCTTCTTGTTTGTAGTCGTCTTGCTGACACTCTCTGAGAAGGGGGGGTGAGCTGATTTAAGAAGAAAATGCAAGGGGTGGGGAGATGCTTTGTTTCCGTACAGAAATTTAAAATGGGGTATTACGTAGCTGTTTCTTGTCTAGTAGGTGCTTCTGGCTTCCCAGCCTCTTTTCTGTGTGGTCACAGAAGGTCGGGTCCTCCCCGCCACTCATTCCCAGGTCCTCCTCCCGCAGGAGTCAGCCCTTTGTTTGCCGAGTTTCTTCAGACGTAGTATGCTTTCTGTTGGGGACACGAACGCAGGTGACCTGGAGTTGAGGCACCCGGGGCGTGTTTCTGCCTCCGCAGAAAGCTTTGCTGCCCGAAGAGGGGCAGTTGTCGCACACTTACTCCAGAAAGAGCACTTTGAAATGATAAAGCTGCTGTGTGCAGGCGAACCTGGAAAGACAGCTCCTCCTAGTTTGTCAGCGTGCTGTGGAGCAGGTGTCCGTGGCCGACATGCCCCCGCCCCAGGTTCCCCCCCACGGGCAGCCGCACCTTGTTAGGCAGCCCCCGTAAACGTGAAGCCGAGGCCTTCCCACCGGCCTGCTCCCGCTTCATGTCTCATACCCCAAGAGGCTGAGGATGGGCCCTGCTCGGACCCGAGGGAGCAGAGGTTGTCGTTTGGGGCGGGCTCAGGCCCCTGGCGATGAGGCTGGCGTCCACGCCACGTTTGCCCTGGATGTTGGCCTTGACTTGCCACTGGAGGCCTCATGCCCCCAACGGGACCCCACTTTGCCGTTCTGTGCAGAGTGTCCTGGGCAGGGTGTCTTGAGTGCTGTGACCCATGCTGTGTGTACCGTCAGGACCCATTTCTGGCTCTGAGGGACAGAGGAAAGCTTGCAATGCAGTGCAGGAACGTGCTGTCTGCTGGTGTCGGTGCTGGGTTCAACCTGGGACTGCACCTTCGTCTTCCGTAGCACTTCCCCAAGCTGTCCTTACACTGCCGTGTGCAGCGTAGAGCGGTTTTCAAGTCTCTCCGCCCATGGAAGTGCCAAGCACGGTCCAGTGTGCTACCGGGTGAACTTCCGGACAGGCTCTGCTTGTGTGTGTGTGGGGGGGGAGTGGGAGGGGAGACCACCGTGGGTGCTGGAGGATGCTGGGCAGCTCCTCGGCAAGTCGGGAGTGCCCAGCCAGCCGTGGCACTGCCGCTGTCCCTCTCGGGCCCCCTCCCTTGCGGAGAACCACTGCTTTGGGAGCCGCAGAGTGTCCTGCCCCCCTGGGAAAGCATCAACAGACTTTTCCTTAAGTCTCTGTCACTGTGTGCCGTGGAAATAACGTTTTGTTTTTAGCCCTCTGCCATTGCTGATGCTTCGTTTGCAACCCCGTTCTAATGGTGTCTGTCTGCTGACCTTTCCCGGTCTGGTTCCCAGCCGTTTTCTGCATTCTGTGCAGTGCTCGGCTTAACTACTGACTTCTTCAGTGGACAATCAGGTGTAACTCCTGTGCAGTTCCTTTTGCTCCAACTTCCCTGTTTTTGCCTTCCAACTGAGAACTTCTTCTGAATTTCTTTGTGAGGCGAACCAGTGCCCCTCTGCGTACTGCACCTGAAGTAACTCCTGTAGACTCTCGTTTTTTTGTCCTAAGAAGCCATGTTCTTGTGGCCTGGTGTTTATGTTTAGAGGAACACATCAGATGGAATTTGTTTTTGTTCTGGTTGCTGCTCTGGACCTTACTGCTGGCTCCATTTGTTTTTTTTTTTATTACGGTGTTAAGATTTCTTACTTGACCTAGAGATTTTATAATATAAATGCATATGGCACAAAGAGCTTTTTTGGTTTACACAGTTCCTCTGCCATTTCTAAAATCATTTAATACTTATTTTGATAATGGTACCTTCTTTACTAGAAAAGCACTAATTGTTTTTTTTTGTGGGGGGGGTCTTTTTTAGGGAAAGCTACCAACGACAGGAATGACAATCACAAAGCTTGAGGACAGTGAAAATCATAGAAATGCATTTGAAATATCAGGTGATAGGCACAGACTTTGTGGATACTCTCTGTCACGGTGATGAGAGGCAGCTTTCCATTTGTGTGCAGATTCTTGCTGGACTGTCCAGAGGGCTGATGGTTAAGCGCTGTTCAATTCTACTCTGGGTGTGTGTGTGCCTGTGTGTGCTTTCTGCCTGTTTTCCCATTTCAGCCTGTGTCTTCTCGCTTCCAGGGAGCATGATTGAGCGGATCTTAGTGTCCTGCAACAACCAGCAGGATCTCCATGAGTGGGTGGACCACCTACAGAAGCAGACGAAGGTCACCTCTGTTGGCAACCCCACCATCAAGCCGCATTCTGTGCCGTCTCACACCGTAAGGATCCCTGTACTTCTGCCTCCACACCGGGGGGTCAGCCTTTGGTGGGTTGTCAGCGAGTCAGCAAGCACAATGAAGCATGATCGGTATTTGGACCAAGAGCACAAATACGGGCCTGCATTTCCCTGAGGGTACTGGCGTGTCCGTGTGGCATCTGATTGCCTCACACTGCTTGCTCCTAGGCTCTGCCTTCCTGCACGTGGTTTGCTGGCATCGGCTCCGAGGGGGACCTGGGAGACCAGATTATGGGGGTTTTCGCCTGAAACCTCAAGAGCCAGGAGTCCATGGATTTTGTTTTGTTTTGTTTTGTTTTTTTTCCTGAGAATCTTAATCATTGTTTTGATTTTAAGAAATCCATTCATCTTCTACTTAGAAGAGCTCACCAGCTCTTTGACTTTTTAAATACTTAAACATTTCAGAGTATCTCAGCACAAAGTGTCCCATGTTTAAAACCTCTCTTTCCTGGTATTTTATGCTTAAGGTACTGGTATCAAGTCCTTGTTGTAACCTCCCTCATCTTTCTCCCACAATATTGAAGCATGCACACCTTTTCACAGGTGACCTGTGAATGCACAGTATTTCCAGGTGGTCAGTTTTCCTCAAATCCCTATTAGATGGTTGTGATCTTTATTTGGACTTTCTACCATGTGGTTTGTTTCTACATTCAGTATCCTTAGCAGTCAAGTTTTTGCTCAGGAAGAGTGGCTGTAGTGTAACATCTTTTTTTTCTTTTTTTAAATAAAGATTGATTTATTAGAGAGCGCACTTGTGTAAGCGGGGGGAGGGGCAGAGGGAGAGAGAGAATCCTCAAGCGGACTCCCCACTGAGCAGGGAGCTGGATGCGGGGCTTGATCCCAGGACCTTGAAATCATGACCTGAACCAAAATCAAGAGTCGGACGCTCAACCAGTTGAGCCACCCAGGTGCCCCTGTAGCATAACATTCAGCTCAGTTTTATCTTACTTGGTTTCTCTTGACAGTTTGGAGGTTGAGACTACTTGTTTGCTTTAGCTAATATTTCATTTTGAATGGCTCTGCCATTTATAACTTCTCCATACTTTAAAAAAAAAAATACTGAAGATGCTTCGCTTACATGGAACTAAATTTGTTCCAAAGATATTGTATGTACACGTGAATGTTTATAAAGAAAAATGGAAGTGCTCCTTCATATTGTCAGCAACACCTTGAAACCAAGCAGAGGGATTTCACACCAGGCAAAACTTTGTTCTCTGAACCCTGGCGGTGTTTCTCACAAACAGGCCTTTGAAGTGTTAACTATTCTTCCTAGAGAATTTCTTCTTTGAGGTATTATGTATTCTCCCTGTGACCTAGCTCTGTCCAGCTGGAATAGTCTCATTTTAGCATAGACCGGTCCCTCTTTTGACTTTTTAAGGAGAAACAAATCCAAATACTATTTACTATGATGTTATTGCTAGAAGAGATATTCTACATAATTTCTCTGTGTGAATTATGTAGTTTCAAAAAACTGTTATGTAGTGGTTGTATTGCCTGTCACAAGACGCACGCACATACACACACACGCGCGCACGCGACCAGGACGGGCCTGTGGTTACTGTGGGAAGTTTCTTGCTCTTGCCCTGGGGTGCTATGGCATCAGCCACTGGCAGGCTTCTCATTAAGTGTGTGTTTCAAATAGGCAGTTCTTTTGAATGATGATCTCACCCTGATTTCCAGCTCATAGAACACTGCTCTTTTATTAAGCATGCCTTATTGTTTTGGGTAATTTGAGGTCGTTGGCTGATTTTGAGTATTATTTTATTGAACATTTTTGCATTTAATTGTCACTGTAATGGAATATTTTGGGGTTTTCCAGGAATGTGAACCCCATTATCTTTCTGAGAAACTATATTTTATATAACTTTATTTTGATTAAAGCTGGTTTTCCTGAGAAAATAACTTGTTTTACCCTAGGGATTGGCAAAATTTTTCTGCAAAGAGACCGTAAAATATTTTCAGTTTTACAGGCAATATGGTTTTACACTTTGGTTTTACAGCCATCAGCAGGAACGGGCCTGGCTATGTCTTGGGAGAACTTTTTAAATGAAAACAGGCATTTATCCCACTCCTAAGTCACCAGGCAGTAAATTCTGTGACCGGGGAGAATTACCCCCCCCGTAACCACATTCTCAGTGCAAGAAATGCCTGTTCTTTTACAAAATTCTGATCTAGGCTAAATGGAACACCTTGTTGCAGATGCTACTCTGTGGCAAATAAAGGTGGCAGTGGGGTGCTTGGGTCTGGGTCTCCGCATCCTGCTGCCTGCTCCCCCAAGCTGCCCTGATGCACAGTAGACGGGTGGCCCAGAAGCTGACTGCTTGGGGTTGGAGATTAAAGAAATGATGACAATCTGGGAGTGTTTTAGAAATAGGCAGAACCTCGTGGGTCTGGTTGAGGGGACCCCTGGTAGCAGCTGTGGCGTTTCACGCTCTCTTCCCCCGTAGCTCCCCTCCCATCCGATCGCCCCATCCAGCAAGCACGCGGACAGCAAGCCGGTACCCCTGACGCCTGCCTACCACACGCTGCCCCACCCCTCCCACCACGGCACTCCGCACACCACCATCAACTGGGGGCCCCTGGAGCCTCCGAAGACCCCCAAGCCGTGGAGCCTGAGCTGCCTGCGACCCGCACCTCCCCTGCGGCCCTCGGCTGCGCTCTGCTACAAGGAGGTGAGGTCTGAGTGCAGGCGAGTGTGAACTTGACATCTCGGCGTGTTAGGTTGTCTGTTCTCTGCTTCGTTCTGTATTTCTGTCTGTGATTCTGTGACGTAAGACAAATACAGACTCGCTTCAGAACCGTGAAGGTCTGCCTTGGTTCTTCTGTCCTTCCCTTCTGCTTCGGCTAGCATTAGATGCTCTGTGCCCTTCGCGGACAGGCCTTGCTTCCTGCCGCCGGGAGCCTGCGGCGGGGGGCTTCCCTGGGCCCCGCCTCCGGGGAGCCTGAGTTAACTTTGTGCACCTAAATCCACGGTGGGTCTTGCCGAGGCTTTCTGACCCTTCTCCAGGTGCGAGTGAGGGCCGCCCTGGAGCCCTGCGTTGGTCACCGGGAGCTATTTGAGAGGAAGAGAGCATGCACAGATGGGAGTGGGAGCGCACAGCTCTGCAGCTCTGTGTTGGAGAGCTGTGTCTGCGACAGGGTCGTCCTGGGCGGGCACTCCAGGCTGCTGACGCTGCATCTGCGTCCAGGACACGAACTGTCTTAACTACCTGAGAAATACTTGGCACTTGAGGAAGCTCATGACTGAAGTGCTGGGTGTGGTCATGAGCGTGAGTAGGCGTGCACAGCCTGAGTGCGAGTCTGAGCGCAGAGCGTGAGGTGGCACGTCCTGGTGCACTTCCCGTCCCTCTGAGGTCGCTTTTGCCTGCGGCCTTGGACCCCCCCGCATCCTTGCCAGCAGCCCTACATGTTTTACGACCCACAGAAGTATTACATAGGTGATGATCTGTCCTTGACGTGTTTTTGTTAATGAATTTTGCTGTTCAGGACCTCTGTCTCGCTGGTGATCACATACCCAAGTCCGAGGTTGCTTTGCCGTGGGCAAATGTGACACGTGGGGTTCTGTTACCCATTTAGCCTGTGCACAAGGTGTCGGCTGTGCCGGTGGGGGTCTCCCTGCTGTCGAGGAAGGGTGGGCGGAGAGTGTCCAGTCATGGAGCACAAAGCATAAGGGGAGAGGTGTGGCCGTGAACCTGAGCATCTGGTTTTGCTGTCTGGGCTACACCTGCTTTGCTGGACCCAGTGCTGGGGTAACTGTGGCCTTGTGTCCCTGAGCCCCTCCAGACCCTTCGTGCAAGTCCTGGGCCCATGGGTGGGCGGACGCGGCCTGCGTGAGCATGGCGTGCTGCCTGGGGCTGTAGAACACATGCTGTAGTTACTTCTCTGGACACTGATTTCTGCCACATTTTTAAAAGCCTGTACAGTTTAGCAGAAGAGGTTTTGAAGAGCTACCTTCCACAACCAAGCTGTGTTCCTTCTGTGCTTTTGGTCTGAGTCCTCCCATAGCCCCTGTCACGTTGGCTTCCTGTCGTAAGACTCACAAATGGTTTGTGTGACTTCAGTGATGCAGCATTAAGACCTTATCAGTATTTCATACATGCTTGGCCGCTGGAGCCTGGCCTGTCCCTGCGGACCTTCTCTGCGGTCTTTAGTCACTGTGTCTGAGAGGGAAGGGGCGGATCGTTGCATCGTGACTCCGCCATGAGCTCGTGTGTCCATGCCAGGGTCCATGCCAGTGCTCTCTTGTCTGCATGCGTCTGCACTCAGGGCCCACGGGCAGATATTCTTCCCTTTCCTTCTCTCTGGAGGCTTCTACTTTTCCTCGAAAAATAGCCTTAGTTTTCCTGATCTCTTTCTGGTTCTCTGCAGCAGATGGGTCTGCTCCAGAATTAGCAGCACGCGTGCATCTGTGCCTGTGTCAGCTAGCCTGCCTGCGAGCCTGCAGCACCTCTGCACTGTGTTGTCACAGTGCCGACGGGTCCAAGGGACACTAGGGTTTTTATCAGAGCCTGCGCCCTCTTGCTTTTGCTTTTATATCAATGCTCAGCAGCTGGCCAAGGAAGCCCAGCATGAGTAAAGTAGGAAGTTCTTTACCTTGAGCGGCTGTAGAAACTTCTATTTCATGCTGTCAGTGACTCTCACCGACACGCCAGGAAAAATTCCTGCCTTTGGAATATGTCAGCACTTTTTCCCCTTTTTCTTTCTCTAGGATCTTAGTAAGAGTCCCAAGACCATGAAAAAGTTGCTACCTAAGCGCAAGCCTGAGCGGAAGCCTTCCGATGAAGAGTTTGCATTGCGGAAAAGTGAGTACACACCACGTGTGGCTGAGGACACAGGCCCGTCTCGGGCGCGGTGCTCACGGCGTGGAGAGAGGGCTGGTGGCTTTCCGGAGGAGTCAGCTGTCGGGGTCTGAGCCTTAATGTCTTGTCTAAAGGACACTGAGGAGCAAGGGCAGTGAACCCTTCCAGCGGTGACACCCACGAGCAGGAGAGCTGCCTAGTGATGAAGCACATGCGTGGTTTTCCCCTTGATGGAATCGCTTGCAGTCTCTTGGCCTCTGTGATCACTTGTTCTGGGAACCCAGGCCAGGGGTGTGCAGGGTAGCCCTGGGACCACCTATTCTGTCTGGCCCCCTCCTTGGCCTGGGCTGCACCAGGTGTCTCTACGTGTCCGGGGGACACCCCTCCATTGATAGTGTGTGAGCAAGTAGAGCTATTTTGAGAAGTGACTGGAGAGATTGTGCGTGCACGTGCCCACCTGCTGCTTCCCACTGCCGAGCTGGTTTCCCGGTGCCACAGGCAGGAGGGGTTCCGTGGCCGCAGACAGCTGTGGGACTGTCTGCACTGCAGGAGGACCTCAAGGGGGAGACGGCCCGGGCAGTGGCAACCTCAGGAAAGGGGTGGGCTCTGCCTCCTTGCCCCTGTGCGCCTGGGACCTGCCACGGGTCTTCCTGACTTTGTGGAGCATTGCTCTTCTTTTTTGCTGTATTTATTTGGGACCTTTCAGGGATTCATTTATAAAAGAAGACTCGTGGGAGAGATGTTTGTAGTCAGAACGTGAGCGTGGCTGATGTCACCCCAGGGAAGGGGGCCGCTTGGTTCGGGGGCTCTGCAGGATCCCTGGAGTCCAGGTGGCCTGCACGCGGGCCTCCTCCCCCACTCATCTTGATATGGGTGATAAGCTGGAAGTGGTAGATGCAGGGAGGGGCCTAGAGGCTGCTCTATGAACGTGAGCGCTCACACCGCTTGGCGCTGCAGCGGGCACGGCGTCGCTTGCCATCATGGCGGTCCTTCCCCCAGATCCTGAGCATGCAGAGCAGGGTTGCACTCCCTGGACACTAATGAAACGGGTGAGGAGACAGTCCTGCTTTGGGGGCTCTGGAGCCGGTGCCTGGGCTGCTTTCTCCACGTGGTGCCCTCTCCCCACCTCCCAGCTGTGCCCTCTAAAGTGGCCCCAACGACCCTCCCTCCCCCACCCTTTGCACCAGCACACTATCTGCTTGTTGAGTCTTTTGTCTGTTCCTACTGAAAGGTAGCTCCATGGGGACAGCAGGGAGCCCGTGGGGCTCATGTGGGAGGTGGTGGGGTTGGTAGTGAGAGCTGATTCTCAGAGGCGCCCTGAGCAGATGGGCTGCTGCAGTCCTGCTGTGAGCGGAGTGTGTGATGGGCCTTGGTTTGAATACGATCGCTGACTGCTGTGTTGAGTTCAGGCGAGCAGAGGTGGGAGGAGGGAGGCCAGGTAGGAGGTGAACTGATCCAGGTGAGGAAGATAGGATGGTGGCTGGACCAGGTGATGACGGTGTAGTGGGCCAACGTGGACAGAGTTCAGATTTCTTTGAAGAGGGAGCCTGCAGCTGTGGTTTCTCAGCCGGGGGTGACTTTGCCCCCTCTGGAGATACTCCCGTCTAGAGGCCTTTTTGGCGGTTACAGTTGGGTGTGTGGGCACTGCTGCCTTACAGTGAGTAGAGGCTAGGGATGCTGCTAGACGTGCTAGAGCCCACAGGACCTGTCGTACCCCCCCGCCGTGCAGTCTTGCTGAGGCTGGGAAGGGGTCCTGCAGGAGGAATCCCAGGCCCGAGGCCGGTGGAAAGGCGGGTGGTGAGGATTCGGAGCTGCTTGCGTGCTGACACGGCTGCTCAGGCCATGTGATGCGATGCGAGGAGAAAGACAAGGTCAGGCCTGGGGAGCTGAGGAGCCAGCAGAGGGAACTTGGAGGGACCGGGGGCTGCAAGAGAACCAGGGATTCCATGTGGGTTGGAGGAGAGATGTCAGCCTTGCGACCTCTTTGTAAGGGGGGGCCTGTACATCTCTCGTGCTCCCTGAGCACCTGCTCTAAAGTCACACGGTGCTTTCCCAAGTTCTTTTAGTCTTGCTTACATTCAGAATCCTGAAAGTTTTTGTGGGGTAGCCTGTGCCACATAGGGACTGTGAGGAAAGCAAGCTCGGTGATAGCCATAAACTCCGTCCTGGGGAGGCCGGCGAGCGTCCTTTCTGGTGTCCGTGCTGTCTCTGGTTAGGTGTTGCGTGCATACCGACTCACCTCTGACATAGCTGTCCAATCCTATGATCTGGACAGGTAGTCCCAGGCACAGATCGCGGTCCCCTGGGCAGAGGTGGAACAACATGCCTGTGAAGTTGCCATATTCAGCAGGTCCTGAAATGAAGTGAGGAAGACTCTCTCTTACTCCTGAGGGAGGAGCTTGTCATGTATATGATGGGCTCCAGTCAGTGGCGCTAAGTCCATTTTCCAATAGCTCTTCAACTCTGGGTGCTGAAATTTGTGTTTTCTTTGTAAATTTTATTTGAGTGTAGTTGACCCACAACATTACGTTAGTTTTGGGCGTACCCCATGGTGGTTTGATGTTTGGATGCTCTGCGCTGCTCAGCACCCGTGCAGCCCCCATGTGTGACCACACAGCGCGTCCCACCATTGACTGTACGCCCCGTGCTGGGCCTCCCATCCCTGGGGCTTACTCATGCCTTAACTGGAAGCCTCGATCCCCCGCTACTCCTCATCTGTTCTGTTTACCTAACCCCAAGCCGTCAGTTCTCTGTATTTACCAGTCTAATGCTGCTGTTTGTTCGTTCATTTGTTTTTATTGTAGATTCCACATATGAGTGAAATCATGGTATTTGTGTTTTTTAGTCTGACTTACTTCACTTAGTGTAATATACTCTTTGTCCGTCCATATTGTCATAAATGGCATGATCTCATCCCTTTATGGATGCATAATATTCCTGTGTGTGTGTGTGTGTACACCACCTTCCTTATCCATTCATCTATTGGCGGACACTCGGGTTAGCTGCTTCCATAACTTGGCTGTTGTAGACTATGCTGCAATAAACATACGGGTGTATGTATCCTTTCAAATTAATGTTTTTGTTTTCTTTGGCTAAATACCCAGTAGTGGAGTTACTGGATCGTATGGTATCTTAAGAAAAACAAAGCTGGAGATATCATAATTCCAGATTTCAAGATATACTACAAAACTGTACTAATCAAAATAGTATGGTAGGTACAAAAATAAACACATACGCCAGTGGAACAGACTAGAGCCCCAAACCCATGATGATATCAATCCATGACAAAAGAGGCAAGAATATATCATGGGAAACAGAACAGTCTCTTCAAACAATGGTGTTGGGAAAACTGGACCACTTCCTTACAGCATACATGGAAATAAACTCAAAGCGGATTATAAAGACCTAAATGTGAGACCTAAAACCCTAAAAATCCTAGAAGATATTATTTATTTTTAGTACAGTATATTCGATTTGTCTTGTATATGTATCTTACTATCATAAAATGTTGAGGCTTTATATAGCTTCTAAATACTTAAGCTTTCCATTCTTCCACATTTTTATTAGAGTAGGTGAACCTTTTAAAATACATACCCAAGTGTAATATCTTAGAAAATACAAAAAAATATAGAAAATGGAGTAAAACAGAGAAGAGGAATAGTTCACCCCCATAGGATCTTGTGAAGTCTGCTATGTGCGAGGCACCGAGTCCGGGACTGACGGCACTCGATGTTGTTAGTCTGGAAGCTTCTCTTCTCCTTCATGCGTGTGGTCTGAGTACATGAAGCCAGCGTCTGGAGGGATCCATGGTTGGACAGTGCTGGAAGAACACTGTCAAGGACTCGGTAGTGCTTTGTGACCATCTGGGGTGAGGATGGCATGAAATCTCTCGTACAGACGGGGGATCAGAGGAAGTGCTCTTTCTGGAACTCTCCAGGATCTTCGTGCTGCCCGCTGTGGGCTCCCTGCTGCCCCATAGCACTGGGGATTGTCAGAATTCCTTATGTTTGTCAGGCCAGTGGGTGAAAACCTGAGGCTTTGTTTTGTTACTTCTTAGCAAGAAGAAGCCTCTTAAGGTGTTTTTGTGTGACTTGCTTGTTCCTTGCCCTTTTTTCAATTCCAGCATGGGAGGATACTGCTTTTCCTACGGACTAGTAAGACCACTTCTACATATTTAGGGTACTAGCCTTTTGCTAGATATGTTGCACATAAAAAATATTTTAAAAACATAGAACTGTTTTATAAATGTTAGAAAACCGTTATCTGATAAAAGAGAAGTTGTTTTTTAGATCATGACCTGTTCTACTTGTTACTTTTAGCTTGATTGTGGCGTGTCGTGTCTTGACAGGCACGGCCGCTCTGGAGGAAGATGCGCAGATTCTGAAGGTCATCGAGGCTTACTGCACGAGCGCCAAAACGAGGCAAACGCTCAACTCAAGTAAGTCTCACCGTCTCGGACTGCGCACTGCAGCGCCTCGGTGGGGTTAGGGTCCCCATCCAGGGGCCTGTGCTGGGCCCTGTGTGTGGCCGTCACTGAAGGACGCCTGGCTGGCCCGCCTGGCCTCCCTGAAGCCCCACAGAGGGGCTGAGCTGCCAGTAAGAGGACGCATTTCTACAAGACGTTCTGCCGGGGAACTTTTAAGTAGGAGGTGCTGCCAGGGTGTAGAAAGCTTTTGCTTAGTAAGAAGATGTGCTTGGAAGACAGAAGATGCGTTCAGTTATTTTTAAGCTCTTTAAGCTATTGGTTGGTAGTGGGACTTTTTTCCTTAAGATTCGTAGAATTGTCAAAAATACAAACCTAGAGCAAGTCTTTTTTAGCAGCCCCCCACCCCCCGCTTTTCTAAATGATGCATTTATAAACATTTTTGGAAGTGGACCCCAACTAATTTATGTGGTGGATTTCAGCACCACTGAGTTTCCTGTACCTTTTCAGTTGAGGAACCTTAATCTGTCGGGACAGGAAAAGGTGGGCTCTTTTTGTCTTTAACTTCCCAGCGTTTGAAGGTGGAGTGCAGCACGGGGGTGCAGATGCAGTGGAATGCGTGGTTTGTTCAGGAGAAAGGGTCGCCTTCCCCTCCCCCTGGGGCCAGGACCACAGGCACCACAGGGTGTCCTGCACTGTCCTTTCTAGGTGGGCTTTTTGGGGTTTGGTTTGGTTTTGTTCGAGAACTGGTTTATGTATTCTGGCTTAGAAACTGGTTTCTGTTGGATTGTGTGTCTTGGATTCCCTTTCTACCCTGACTTTGGGCACATTGCTGATCACTGCTTCATTCCCACCACCTCTACTTTGGTGGTTCAGATCTGCATCCTGGCTTGTGTCAGACTAATTCTGATAAAAAGGACGGGGGAAAGGGAATTTTCACCCGCTTTAGCTTTTGTTAAAGATGGTGACAGTTAAAAAGGGCTGGCAGGATTGAACCCCAGGGGCAGTCTGCATATCACCTAGAAACTTCCCTGTGGCCGGTGTTTTAAGTGTCTGGTCTGCGCATTGAGACTCTTGTTGTCCTTGTCCTGTGAGAACACATATTCATAGTAACTGGTCAGAATGGGGGAGACATGGAAAGGCCTGGAAGTGGGGTGTACATCAAGTCAAACGGTCATTTGTAAATACAGTTTGTCTTTTGAAATTGATTTCATAGATTTGGCAAGAAACCATTTTAAGTTTTAGGTTATATAAAATGTGGCCACAGTGTTTTGGGTTTTGAATTGGAAATTTTGAAGAATTCTCTCAATTTACTTGAAATAAAATTGTAACGTGGTAGTCTCAGGTAAACAGACCAGGTAACATGAGCTTTGTGTGTGTGTTCGTGAGAGCTTCGTCTGTTCATCGGGGAGACGGTGCCTCATGATGTCCCTGTGGCCTCGCTGCTTTGGTTGCCTGGAAGGGACGGCCCGTGGACCGTGCGGGTTGTCAGTCATCTGTGTCATGTGTCTCCAGTTCTCCCGTGTCAGAGAAGTTTGCACGATACATGGATTTTTATTTTCAACGGATACTATGGGCTAAGCCCTCTGGGGCCTCGTGTGTCCAGTCCTAGGTGGCTGTAGCCCTAATACTCTTAGGGCCAGATAGGGTAGGGGAAATGGATCCTTGGTGCTGGAAGGGTAGTGTGGGATGACAATGGAGGCAGCTCTTTTCAGAGTACGTTGCTTAGTAAAAACAGGGTAATATACTTGACCTAAAATTCACCTCCTTTCAGCGTATGTTTGGATGCCACGAAGACATTTATAAAGCCGGACAGCTTTGGTATCGATTTCTGTCTCAAGGAAGTAGTGACCCTCATTAGACTCCAGGGATTTAGTTGAAGGAATCCAAACGGGCCCACTGCTTGTTCTTGTTGGGGTTTGGGACTGGAATGCTGTTGGAGCGGAAGCAGGACGAGGACAGAGCCCGCGGGGGCCGCGGTGGGCCCTGTCTGTCGCGCAGCGCCCCCGTGCGCCTCCCTCACAGCCGCCAGCCGGTGCCCTCGCTCCCAGCTGCTGACTGCTCTCGGGCTTCTTTCTGTTCTCCCATCTTGTCCCCGCTTTGGTCTGCCGCCCTGCTGTTAACACAGTGGCTCTCGGCTCATCGTGTCTCTTGTCCTGCCGGTAAAAGGGTGTGCATCGGGGCTGAGAATGTTTGAGCAGGCCTCCCACTTTTTCTCTTCCCCTGGCCGAGCTCTGGGGTGCAGTGGCAGGAGGGGGGTCCCAGAGGGACCCAGACCCTGTGTAACCCTTTGGTCCACTCTGAAGTTTTTACAGTGGTGGTAGTTTGATAAGGTAAGTTTAGACTCCACCATTAAGCTGACTTCCGGGGAGTTCTAGTCTGGCAAAGGGAGAGCTGAGGAAGTCAGTCCAAAAATCCTCTGAAGCTCTGCTGCTTCAGAATGTCCACTTAAGAGTAAGACACCGTTCCCAGTGAGATGCATAAATGGCTTCTCTTACAAAAATCCTGAACGAGGCTCACGGTTAGTAGACTGGGATAGAATTGTTGACCTGGGAAATGTCTGTGGAAGTATCTGTGGACATGGGCTTATGTGAGGGACCGTTGGGGAACAATATTGTGACGTAGGTTTATTTAAATAATCCTGTTTTACTCTGAGGGTTGTGCTATTAAAACCCACCGTAAATTAGGAGAAATGAACATTGTTGCCAGTTTTTAACAATATTTTCTCTCTTCCTTCTCTTCCCATCACCTTTTGCTTTTGTTTTCATGTTTTTGGTTGTGGCTCTTCCTGCCCACCCCCCCACCTCCGCCTGTCACTCCACCCCTCCCCGTCGTAGCATGGCAAGGCACTGACCTGATGCATAATCACGTCTTGGCTGACGACGACCAATCAAGTCTAGACTCCTTGGGTCGTCGCAGTAGCCTTTCCCGTCTGGAGCCTTCAGACCTCTCGGAAGACTCTGACTATGACAGTATATGGACAGCCCATAGTTACAGAATGGGTTCTACATCTCGTAAGAGCTGTTGCTCATATATCTCTCACCAGAACTAATGCACTTCTGAGCTTTTCTTAACAAATGCTTGTTGTATCGCAGCCTGCTTTTCTTAGATGTTTTCTTGCTGTTCCTTGTCTTTTATGTGATATTTTAACAACTTCTGAGAGCATTGCTGATATTTCCCATTGTACTGTGTGGAGGCCCACTTGCCAGTCCGACCGTCCGTTCGAGCTGCCGCGGTGGAAGGAGACGGTGCGCTCACGGGGCCGCGCCCGAGGGTCCTTTCCTCCGTGGGTGGTGGTGGCTCTCCAGCTCTGAATGGTCTGGGCTCCTGTTCTCAGTGTGGCACCTGTCTCATTTCTTTGTGAATACAGCTGTGTGAACACTTTCCTATTTTATACGAGACCATACAGGTTTGTGATCTAAGTGCCAGCACCACAGAGGCGACTCTGGCCTTACATAGGGGTCTCAGTGTTCTGTGTGCAACAGCCCCACTGGTGAACGAGTTGTGGAGAGAGGCCAAGGAAACGCGCCCTGAGAGGATGGGGTCAGTTCAGACGGCTGTGTCCTGAGGACCCCACAGGGTGCTTGGCCACCGCACAGGGCTGTGTGTGGGTGTGGCTAGCGTGGGCTATGGCTCATCAGGGTGCCTCAGACGGCCGTCCCACGTCCCCGTTTGCCTGGGGTGGGGGTGGGGGGTGGGAGTTCTCCGAGGGCCAGGTTACTGTCAGAGCTCAGACCCTCCCCCACATCATCACACCCAACTCTCCTTATTTGGAGCAATCGCTCTTAACTGGCACTTAGCACGCCCGTGCCGCTCCACTGAAGATTCAGGCCAAACTCGGAAGCACTCGGCCTCTGAAGGTGTATATGCGACTCCGTTCAGAGCCAGGTGAGTGCTTGGCTTCAGTCCCAGCCTGGCTGTACCCCACATCCCTGTCACGCTGCCTGCGATGGACACGGCGTTTGTTTTCAGCAGCTAGCTGCCGTGAAACTCCGTTTATGGCAGCCCGTCCTCTGTGACCCCCATTCCTGATTGTCACGGGGACATCTGAGTCCATTGAAGACCTCGGTTGCCGTGTCACTCACTTACAAGAACATCTCAGATTTGGAGGGAACTCCCCCACTTACCTGGGATTTGTTGTAAGGAGGTTTCACTGGCCTCTCTCAGACGAATTTCTGCTTCAGAAAGAACTGAATGTGACCTGTCACTTTGAGTTGTGGCATCCAGATCCACATCTGGTCATTGTTCTCTCCCGTGCATGCTGTACTTGGTGTTAAAATGGAACCTCAGGGTTGTGTTTTAAGTATTCATTGAAACCAGCTTCAGAAAACAAGATGCCATAATACGTTGGGAATAACCCGTTTTCCTCTCCTCAGGGTGACTGTAGTTCCGGGTGGCTGTGATCTCTCTCCTCCCCCGGCCCCCAGCGAAGCCCTGTAGCCAGTGTGTGTTTTGCTTGCGCAGAGACAGCCGGGCTGCAGCGCGCCCTAGTTGGCTGGGCGCCGGTGAACCCTGGTGGCGGCGTGTTGCTTAGAGGGTCACACGCCTTCAGTACTGCATGTGGTGAGGTCCTGAGGAAAACCAAGAATTCCAAATAGGTCTCTGTTGCCACACAGCTATTGAGCTGCTCACGCCATCTGGAGATTTCATACTTTTATATCAATTAATATAAGTAAGAAAGTTGAGGAGCAATCTTAAAATTAGTTAGAGCCCAGTATTAACCCACGGTAGAGATGGGGTTTATATGTATTCAGCCAAATAGTGGAAGTTTGGGAGAAGTAGGACTACAAAGTTCATGCAGTGAACTTAGCAGCAGTTGTTTTATTTTGTATGTACAGTAGTCACCTTTTCTGACGCTAATAGTAGAATGTCTGTCTGTCTGCTTTGAGGCTGCCGTTGGTGAGTTGGCGTAGCCGCCTTTGCCAAGAAGCCTCAGTAAGCGCGGGGGCCCGTGTCGCGCGTGCCACAGCGCTGCGATACTTCCTTATCGCCAAGTGTCGTTTGGGTCGTCCTCCGGAGACCTCACGTTCTGTCCACCGAGGTCTGACACTGTCCCCCAGTCCTTTGGTACCAGTTAAAGCCACGTGCGCGGTGATTTTGCTGATGCTGGGATCACTGTATCACACCGCCCTGGCTTCTGGTTGTTTGGGCTTGTTTCAAATGTCTGGCACCATTCGCTCTTGTGACCTGGTTGGAAGTGTTAGTGCCACAGGCCTGGAAGTGGTCCCTGGGGGGCAGTGGCAGTGTGGCACCAGAGGGTGGGGACACTCCATCTGTGGAGCTCCGGTCACGCTGAAATGGAGTCTGCTTGGTGCAGCTCCGTCCTGGCTGCGTGCACAGTTAGCGCCGTAGTGTGTGGGTGCAGACCCTGAACCTGAAGGTAGGTGGAAGCCGTCCTGGGCCTTCCGCAGGGGCCTACGTGGTGTTGACCTTGAATTTACCCTTGCCACAGTATATAAGCTATATTAATTATGTGTTTTGCGTAAAATTGCCAAAACACAGTAATGTGTATATAGTGGTATAAGACCTTGAAAGAAAAATCTCTATATTGTTTTTTTCTCTGTGAATGGGAAAGCCATTTTTAGTGGGTGACGGCCATTTGAAGACTCAGTTGGATGTACACCTGAATGTTGCATTGTATTGTACAGTATGCATACTGTTTGTGGTTGCATATGGCAAATGAAGTGTTTGTTTTATATATATAAAAAAAAAAAGACATCTGTTATGTACAGTTGAAATAAATTTTGCATTTGCTAGCCTGTGGCTTTTAATATTTGTTACCTGGGGGGCGGGGGAGTAGCATAGCTTGCAACTGAATATGATTTGGCTGTTCTCCTGTATGTTGTCTTCCAGAGGAAGGCCAGGCAATGGGACACTTTCTGTCTGCTTTGATAGAGAGACATGCATTTCCTTAGAATAAATACATTCTAGACAATACAGGGTGACTCCTGACACACTTTTATTTCCTTTCTCCCTCTTTTTTTTAAATAAGTTTTCGGTCACTGAAAGGCTTGTCTTCAGAAAGAAGCACTCTTGGTTTTGTTGTGCATAAATGGAAAAAAAAAGCCTAATAGATTTTTTATTTTTTTAAGACTAAGGTCAGTTTTAATCTTTGTCTTATAAAGTGCATGCCCAGCTGGCTAAGAAGTGAAAAGGAGTGTCCGCGTGGGGCTAGGGCAGGGTGCAAACGGTAAACAGATGCAGATGGTTCCCTAAGGAGATTCCTCACGTTTTCCTAAGAAAAAAATGAGAATCCTATGATAGCCATAAATAACAAATGACCTTTGGGAGAGGTTTTATTAAATAGATTTCTTTTAAAAGTTGTAATATTTTCCTTCATTCTGAAAGTTCGGTTTCGCTTGAGTATAATTAGGTGCAGATTTTAGAAAGATGATGAATTTAAGAATTTATGGAGTTCTGCCACAAATGTACTCGACTGCTGGCCAGATGAGCAGATGATCTTTCCTGAAAAACACCATGTTTAGGCTCTTCTGATGCAGGCTGACTCTGTCACGCATACACACGCACATGCCCACACGCACACGCTAGCCCTTGACTGAGCCATGTGTCCTGTCGGCGGGTCCGGTCAGGTGGCAGTCTAACCACGGAGAGGCGCCCGGGCTTTGAGTCCCCTGCTCTGTGCTGCTCGGGCAAGGCCTCTGTGCGGTACCGGCCCTCGCTAGATGTGTGTTTCTCAAAGACCTATGGTGCTCTGAGGGGCTGCAGGTGTTGTAGGGGGCAGGGCTCCACGTGTCTCCAGCTTGTAGATCACACCTCTGAGGGCACAGGCTCGCCTTCCCGTCTCCCGCTGTGTGGCAGTGTGCAGCTACCATGGCGTGTCCGCCCGTGGCCTCCGCAGCCAGATTCTGCGGACATGTTCTCTGGAGTCCTCCAGTTGGAGAAATGCTGGATTGGTGCTACATGTCGATTACAGTTCCATTGTAGTCACCCCCGTACTGAACAGCAAATCCAGCCAGTACTTGTGTGCATGTCCTTGTAGATGCAGACAGGGTCCTAGGCTAGTCCAACACCCCTTTTAAACCGTGACGCACACAACTGTGGAATGTTGCTGAAAGGAGGCGCGGCACTCAGGTGACTTGACGAAATGCCGAATTAAAGTAAGTGGGTATTTCTACTACACCTGGTGAAAACCGTCAGCGTGCCCCATGTGCACTGTGGACCTTCCAGAAGTGGCCGTAGCCGTCGGCATTTTCCAAAGCAATGTGGTGCAGAACCCCTGTGTTAGAAGGTGGAGGGACAGCAAAATACCCCCAAACCGAGAAGGCACTTTGAGGCTGGCAAAGGAAGCAGGCGACACCATACGGTTTACACAGCATTATTCTGGGGGGCACCCCCTTACTGATGGGGGTTCAGGTGGGCGATGATCCAGGTGCTGCATGGCTACTCTCCAGGAAGTGCAGACCTGAGTCCCCAGATGGTGTAGATGAGAGGGCTGTGCAGCAGAGGCTGCTGTGGGGCGCCAGTGTCCGTGTGCCGGGGGTGGGAGGGGAGAGACGTCTCTCTGCTAGCTGTGTGAATGACTTCAGGCACGTTCCAGACGAGCGCTTCGGGTCAGGGCACACACTCCCTCCCGGGGGCCTGGAGCAGTAGCCCCCCAGGGAGGTCACCGCATGAATGCCCGCAAGATGGAGTACTGACAGTTGCTCGTACCCCGTTACCTCCTGGAAACGCAGACCTTGAATGTGCTGGACCATCATGAACCCATTTATCTGTGTCTCAGCCCCTCTTAGAGGATTTTAAATAAAGTGACAGAACATTCTTGGCGGGTTCTGTTGTTTTGCTAAACAAAGTAATTCAGGGAAAACATGCTGTGATCCCTCTAAAAATACCCAAGTGATCTTTGAGATAACTTGTTAAGTCTACTTTGTAAAACTTGGCTATTTCTGTAAGAACAGACTTACTTATAAACCTGGCTGGAGAACATTCCTCTATTTAATTTTCTGAAAAACCAAGTTTTCTGTCCTTGTAGAAAGACATTCCACTGAAACTAGGCGCATTACTAGCATCGTATGGATTTCTCTGCAGGCTAGTAAATACTCGTCATTTTCCACACCAGCATCTTTCAGGAATCAAGCCGTTAAGTCTGTACATTCTGCCTATAACATTCTCAAATTTAAGTTTGTATAATAAATTCTGGTACGCTTTCAGTGTATTTCCAAAAATAACCGTCACGTGTATGCTACTCGTGTATCAGTTCTCACGGGCTTTTCATCCTCTGATGTCCCGTTACGTAACAGGATTGAAGGCTTTCGTTTTTGTGACTTTACCTGGTAAAAGATACTAAATGTGATTCTTAAATTCTCAGAGCAGCTCTGCAGAGTTGGTAGCTCCGTTCTGCTTTACGAGCCCTGGGCCTCCCCACTCGTGCGGACGGGACAGCGCCTGCTGTCTGACCCTTGTCCTTACGGCACAGGTGTCCCTTGTTTCTCCTGCTGCTTGAAGCTGGGAGCGCCTCACGTCAGCGGGCAGCCCAGGAAGCTACAAGGTGTGAAAATAGCCGGAGAGAGATGCGAGGAAGGCCGTCTTCCCACAGTGCTGCCCGGTGA